GTTAAGAAGGAGAAATCCAGACCCGAATCAGCGAACTCGACCGTGTAGAAGTCCTGCGCACTCAGACACGAGTAGTAGGCCCAGAGCACCGAGCCGTTGAGGAACATGAGCGAGAAGAAAATGTTGCGTTCGTTCTTGACCATGTCGTCCCAGATCTCCTCGGGCATACCGTCGTGGCCCAGCTCGACCTGGTCGTCAGACACGAGCTTCTCGGACTTGCTGGGAGACTCCATGGGACTCGAAACCTCTTGAGACTGGCCCGGCGAATTGCGGAATGGCCGACTTGTGAGACTAATACCAGCAAATCACGATTAACGTCAACTTGCATTGGTGGAGGGAGTCCGTGCGTGTCTGCTGTGCCAAACGGGAAGAAATGTCCGTAGCCAGGACGAATCACCGACACATCGACTGATTGTGGCTCTGCTTGCTCAACAAAACCTGTCTGTACCGCAGCAGGTGTTGCAATAAAACTGATAAAATAAAAAATGTTGTTACGTTTCCAAGAAATTCACAACTTCTTATAAAAGTGTTATTCCTCTACAAACCGAGCCATCCGTTGTCGCTGACGAGGAAGCCGAAGGTGGAGCCTGTGGCGATCCCGAGGAACAGGAAGAAAACCATGACGGCGCCGCCCGATTCGCGGTCTTCCGGTTTCAGCATTCGAGGCGCCACGCCCATTGTTACAGTCGACAGTAAACCCGTAGAAATGCCGATGAGAAGATTGAGTACGATGTTGTAGGCCAACGCTCCCATACTGCCGAACGGGAACGCATAGAGCGACGTGCCGGCCACACCCATGAGTAGCAACGGGATGAAGGCGATACGGAGGACAGACAACCCGAACGCCCACCCCATGGTTACCACGCGGTACACCGCGGCCGTACACAAGATACGACCAATGAAATCGCCATAGTTGTAGCTGCCAATGATACCAGGAGAGCAGTACCATGTCGACGTGAGGTTGTGGACTTCGTCGCTGTACGGAGGAAACAAGTTCCGCGATGCCGCGCAGCCGAAACCAGGGAATACCGAGAGTGACACGAAGAAAATGAGGAACTGCGCGATGGCAGGAATCCAAATGATTGAAAAGATGCGGCTCAGATTTTGCAGTGTACGGCCCACCGATTGATTCGCTAAATGTTCCTCCTTGGCCGAATTCTCGTTGCGATCCATTAGGAATTTAACCGATGGCAGACTCACCAAGTAGCGGTAGAGCAGGATGGCACATACCAGGACAATTACCAATAGACTAAAGAAGAGATAGAAGCTCAACTTTGTGGAGCTACTCGTTTGGTTCACTCCTCCAACCGCAAGACGCAACACAGTGGCCACTGTGATATTCAAGATACCGGCGCAGGTGTTGCCGATTTGCACTCCATTCGTGAATTTCTCAATTGGAAATAACGCCGCAAATGTGTAATATGTGGCCTCGGATAGAGAATTTCCGAAACCGATACAGCCGAAGCACACGAGCACGAGGATTCCGCCGGTCTTTTGATTGGAGAAGTCGATAGCGCTGAAGACCATAATGAGGATAGCCATGACCATGAAGATGCAGTAGCCCACGTGAACGCGAGTGCGTTGGCTGAACTTCTTGTCAAGACCGAAGACCATCTGCAGTCCCTGGCCGAGAACCATGGGCCAGGCCGTGCACAGCGTCGTGAGGAACGAGAAATCGAGTCCAGAGTCGGGGAACTCGACCGTGTAGAAATCTTGAGCACTAAGGCACGAGTAGTAGGCCCAGAGCACCGAGCCGTTGAGGAACATGAGCGAGAAGTAGATGAACTTTTCGTGTTTGACCATATCTTCCCAGATCTCTGCCGGTATGCCATCGCGCCCGATCTCCAGTGGGTCTTCTTGCACGAGCTTCTCGGACTTCGTCGGCGACTCCATTGTGCTTTGCGCAGGACGAGGCGGATTCCAATGTGAAGGTCGGAGAAAAAGTATAGCAGAATTGGTGGAACTTGACCACGGCTCGCATGATGCGGTGCCAAACGGCATTAATTAGTCCGTGTGGATCGGTTGACTGATCATGTTGAAGTGAATGTCCGATACCACACTTTCACACAGAGGAGCCATGCTAGCGACTTGCATGCAAGGTGCTTTGCTTAGGAGCAGATTTCCCAAGCTTGCCCAAGTTTCGCTTCAACTTAAAATTGACTTCGCCTGCGCCTGTGCAAACATTAGATTTTGAATTTGAAAGGTGAGGTAAACTGTCTCTCGCCAGCCCGCTGTTGCAGCCAGCGTAAAAGAGCCACTCGACTGATTCTTTTTTTTTTTTGCCGTGGTGAGCCTCGCTGCATGTAGCCAACAGCGCTTTTGCGTGCTTGCCATCAAGGCCCATGATTCAAGGGACAGAAGCTCATGCGAGTTGCCACCCACATTCAGCTTTCGAGTCGAGTTGCTGCACTGCCGCAAAGCAGGTGAGGAGCAGTAATTGACACGTGCAGCGCGTCATTGCACATTTATTGGTGGGACAGATATTTACTTTTTTTTTTTTTGGAGTTTAAGATTTTGTTCCGCAAAGTATGTACATGATTTGCTGAAGAGATCCCACTGTTGTAGACGACAGCTTCAATGCGGATTCCGCTCGATACACTTGGCTTCAGTATGAGACCCATGTCAAGCAACAAAGGTGATGCACTGCTGTAAGTTGCCTTTTGGCAGCCATCGGTAAGCAGTCGGCGTATTGCCTCGCTGGGTCCTTAGGTGTTCAAGCATGGCCTGCAAGTGTTTCATCGCTGGCATGCACGCTTGTTGATAAGCATATCTAGAAACGATGAGCACTGCGTGAATCCAACCGTTTGAAGAACACGCGCCGTGGGCAAAGTTGCTGACGGACACGACGTGGGCGGTTACGCCATCCGAATCGGATTCCGAGGGGATTCCAATTGTTCACGTGCTGGGGGGTAATGGCTGGCTATTATCGCTGCCTGGAAGTTCCTGGTCCAGGAATCCTGGACAATCGATAAGGCTCGACTACCGCACAGCCTTATGTATCGAGTGGCTCATACATGCACGAAGCCTGACCATTGCATATAGTTGTCAGGTGCGAGCCAAGGTTGGACGAACACGTAAAACACGTCACGGATTACCATGGTCTGGCCATTTTCCTCCCAGTGGTGCCGTATGATACAGCAGCGTGCCTTTTGCGCTGGTGTCGATACCATTTCCAGGCTGGAATGGTCTGTAATCGAGGTGCATTTTGTCACAGTCATTTAATAAGATTAGAGATACTTCGCTTTTGATAGTTTCTGAACTTCTGAGCCGGAACACCAATCAAATTAGAGAGTCTACTTGACCTCCTCGAGTCAAACGTACCAATGGAGGGTAGCGCCATCTTTTTCTATCCTCCATGCCCCTGCCCGCTGACTGGGACGCTGTGCGTCGTGGGTCAGTGGTGAGAACGCTCCAACTGAATGATCGAAAAGCTCATTCTGCAATTCACCAGACGTTGAGCAAGCGGGAATCGAAAGCGAAATGGAGTCGCCACGCAAGTCTGAGAAGCTTATTCCAGCACTGCAGGACGAGGAGGCTCTTGAGATCGGACGTGACGGCATGCCCCAAGAAATCTGGGACGATATGGTCAAGAACGAGCGCAAGATCTTCTACATGTTCATGTTCCTCAACGGTTCCGTGCTGTGGGCATACTACTCGTGTCTGAGCGCACAGGACTTCTACACGGTGCAGTTCGCGGACTCAGGGCTCGATTTCTCTTTCTTGACGACACTTGTTACCTCGTGGCCCATGGTTATCGGCCAGGGAGCGCAGATGATCTGGGGTCTTGACAAGTCGATCAAGCGTCACTTCCGCGTGCATGTCGGCTACGGTATCTTCATCGTGATGGCCATTCTCATCATGGTTTTCAGCGCTATCAACTTCTCCAACCAGAAAACCGGCGCCATCCTCGTGCTAGTGTGCTTCGCTTGCATCGGCTTTGGCAACTCGCTATCAGAAGCCACGTATTACACATTTGCGGCGTTGTTCCCGATCCCGAAATTCTCACAGGCCGTGCAGATTGGCAACGGTATTGCTGGTATCTTCAACATCACGTTGGCTACAATTTTGCGTCTTGCTGTCGGTGGTGTCCACCAGACCAGTGACTCCACGAAGTTAAGCTTCTATCTCTTCTTCGGCATCTTGATTGTTGTCCTTATTGCAGCCCTCTTCGTCTATTATCGCTTGATGACACTGCCGAGCGTCAAATTCCTGTTGGAACGCAACGAGGAGTCGATGAAAGCCGAGAGCTTAGAGACGCTACCTGTCGATAAGACGCTCAGTAATCTGTGGCGTATCTTTTGCTTGATTTGGGCCCCAGCTTTGGCGCAGTTCCTGGTCTTTTTCGTGTCGTTGGCAGTGTACCCTGGTTTCGGCTGCGCTGCAGCACGTAACCTCGAGCCGCCGTACGCTGAGGTCACTCACTCGGTTACGAAGAACTGGTACTGCTCTCCTGGTATTGTCGGTAGCTACAACTATGGCGACTTCTTCGGTCGTGTATTCACGGGAGCCGTCGTGTACAAGCTGCTGAACAGTCAGTGGTGTCTGGGTCTGTCGATTCTGCGCCTGGGTTTCATTCCGCTGCTGCTTATGGGGGTCGCCGGTACGTCTCTATACTCGTTCGGTTACGATGATATGGGTGCTATTGCCTACAATATCGTGCTTAATCTCATCATCGGCTTAACAAACGGCTTCCTATCAACTGTCACCATGGGCATTGCGCCACGGATGCTGAAACCCGAGGACCGCGAGTCGGGTGGTGCAGTGATGGTGTTCTGCCTGTTCTTTGGTATAGCTGCCGGCTCAACGATCGGCTTCTTCTTCAGCGACCAGGGATGGCTCGGTCTGTAAACAGTGCACGCTGCTTGTTGAATATCGTTTTTTAGTTGATGATACATGTAACTCGCTTTATTGACGATCTATTACAGTTGCAGTCTTGCTCGCGCGTGAGTTATGCAGCCAGCCTTGCACTAAGCGGAGGCAAGTGCAATGTGACATGATGTGAGGCACCAAATTGATATGAGCGATAGGATTGTTCGTGCTGTTCATCATGAACTCTATGGGCAGCGAGGGCCTCACTGAGGCGCGATTGAAGTTCAAATTGCGCGTTCTACGCATATTTTGCATTCAGGAACCGTTTAGTTGTGGTAAGTGATATGACAGTGAATCATTTTCTATAAACCTCTCAAGATATATCGTTTTAAACTAAGTAGTGCAAATCGTATTCTAGACAAAACCACTGACTTCAGGACCATCATCTTTCAAAGGTAAGAGGATGGACTGACTGTAGGATCTATTGGTAGTCGGGCCATGTACCTGTCAGAGTCGTGCATTCGTCTACAGCCGCGCGGCGGAGCACCAAGCTCTCAATCGCTCATTCTACAACTTAGCCGACATCAAATACGTCGGAATCCGTGTGGTTCGCCTCTCAACGTTATAACCTCAACCTTTCCCGGGCTCAAGCACAACGCACCATGAATTCACCGGGCAAGACCGCCAAGCTGATCCCAGACATCCAAGAAGATGACGGTCTGGAAATCGGACACGACGGCATGCCTCAAGAGATCTGGGACGATATGATCAAGAACGAGCGCAAGATCTTCTACATGTTCATGTTCCTCAACGCGTCAGTGCTGTGGGCATACTACTCGTGTCTGAGCGCACAGGACTTCTACACGGTGCAATTTGCCGACTCCGGTCTGGACTTTTCGTTCCTCACGACGCTCTGCACTGCCTGGCCGATGGTCATCGGCCAAGCTCTTCAGATGTTCTTCGGGTTCGACAAGTCGATCACGCGGGACTTCCGGGTGCGCGTGGGCTATGGGGTTTTCATGCTGATGGCCATTCTCATCATGGTTTTCAGCGCTATCGACTTCTCTAACGAAAAGACTGGCGCCATCCTCGTACTCGTGTGCTTCGGATGCATTGGGTTCGGCAATTCTTTGACTGAAGCGACCTACTACACGTTTGCGGCCCTGTTCCCGATCCCCAAGTTCTCACAAGCCGTCCAGATTGGCAATGGCACGGCCGGCGTTATCAACGTCTCGTTACTTACTATCCTGCGTCTTGCAGTCGGTGGTGTTCACCAGACTGGAGACTCTACCAAGCTGAGCTTCTACCTCTTCTTCGGTCTACTTATCGTCGTGTTGATTGTGGCACTCTTTGTGTACCACCATCTCAACAACCTCCCGTGTGTTAAATTCCTCGTGGAGCGTAACGAAGAGTCCATGAAGGCCGAGAACTTGGCTACTTTGCCTTTCAGCAAGACATGCAGTAACCTATGGCGTATCGCCTGCATCATTTGGGTGCCGGCATTGGCGCAATTCCTCGTCTTCTTCGTGTCCCTGTCGGTGTACCCTGGCTTCGGATGTGCCGCGAACCGCAACCTTGAGCCGCCCTACGCTGACGTGAGCCACTCGGTTACGAAGAACTGGTACTGCTCTCCTGGCATTGTCGGTAGCTACAACTACGGCGACTTCTTTGGCCGCGTGATGACAAGCGCTGCCGTGTACAGAGTCCTGACAAGCAACTGGTGCCTGGGTCTGTCGATTTTGCGTCTGGGTTTCATTCCGTTGCTACTCATGGGCGTCGCCGGCACGTCTCTATACTCGTTCGGCTACGATGATATGGGTGCCATTGCATACAACATCGTGCTTAACCTCATCATTGGTGTAACGAACGGTTTCCTGTCGACTGTCACCATGGGTGTTGCACCGCGTATGCTGAAGCCCGAGGACCGCGAGTCGGGTGGTGCAGTGATGGCGCTTTGCCTGTTCTTCGGTCTGTCGGCAGGCTCAACGATCGGCTTCTTCTTCAGCGACCAGGGATGGCTCGGTCTGTAACTGGTATTTGGTTATCTGCAGGAAAAAACGAAAACATAAAATATGAGAATCTGAGAACAGCAATATTTGTTCTGTAGGCCGCCTCAACTAATGAAGTCCTTTTGCTAGATCAAACGATTGTCCTCACGCTCCTCAAACAGACCCAAATCGGACGGAATTTACAAAAATACATGGTTGTGAAAACGCTCCCTACCTTCCTGGAAACACACGTTGGTGCATTCTAAACAAATTAAGTAACAAATACGCACCATGAGCTTTCCCATGCTACTGTCAGCCCCGGAATCTGACCCTGCGTTCACAGGATATATTGTGCCTTTCCAAAGTTTTGGCCAATCTGACCTTTAAAGGCTGGTCCTAAGCAAGGGTGGGTAGGGCTTAGGGTTGGCAAATGAATGGCACGTTTAGATACGCGATTGATTTGCTGCTTTAAAAAGCACGTTGCTTTTGGGTA